GCCTCGTGCGGCGCGGCGACCGCGGCAGCCGCCGCCGCGGCCGCGGCCGCAGCCTGCTCGAAGCCGTCCGGCGCGGCGGCCGCAGCGCCGCCCGCGCCGCCGCCGCTGCGCCAGGTGATGACGGTCTGGAATGCGGCGGCGCACCTCTCGTCCAGGCCCTGCAGCGGCCCCGCCCCCCTGACCTGGCAGCGCGTTGACGCGAGCAGCACGGCGTCCCGCGTGGCGCTGACCTCCACCTCTATGCGCGGCTCCAGGGCCACCCCCAGCAGGCTGATGCGCGGCACTGACAGCAGGAAGCGGTTGGCCTCCAGGAAGCGGATCTGGGGGGACGGGAGGGGAGGGTGCGTGCTATCCGTGTGAAGCGGGCGCGCATGGGTGCGTACGTGGATAAGTGCATGTTGGCTGCGCACATGTGTTCTCGCGTGTAGCATACAAGTGCATCTGTGTGTGTAAATGGCTGTATGTGTGCGTGTACACGAGCACGCGAGTGTACGTGAGCAAGCATGCGCGCGTGTCGTGTGTTGCGAAGAGATCGACATGAGATCACACCGTTGCGACAGCCCTGGGTGCAGGAGCAGTCCACCTTTGCTGGCCGTGGCTTGCAGGCTGGCCGGCCGACGGCCCAATGGGCCTCCAGGGAGGAATGTGCCTGGCGCTAGCGCCCTGTTTGTATGGGCCACCCTCTGCATGCCCGCCCTGTGCCCAATCTGCACCCCCTTCCTCCGCCCACCCCCCCACCTGGCTGGGGTCCAGGATGTAGTACTGCTCCACCGGCAGTCGCATGTAGGTCGCCAGGGACACGTCACCGCCGGCATCAGCCACGCTCACAGATGCCTGCGCCGCGAGCAGGAGGGGGCGCAAGCCAGGGCGTCACCTGCTCAGGCAAGGCCCGGCCCCGCGCCCAGCACCAGCAGAGCGGCAGACGACGCTGCCAACAGCAGCGGTGGCACAGCAGCCGCAGCAGCAACAGCGGCAGCCGGGCAGGCAGCGCCAAGAGCAGCAGCAGCAGCAGCAGCAGCAGCAGCAGCTGATGATGCTGCCTCACCTGCCCAGACACTGCCAGCCGTGCCGGGTCACGCAGCACACGACCGCTGGCGCTGCGTGGTGGGCTGTGAGGCTGGTGTTGGTGATTTTTGTGCTGCTGCTGTTGGTGAGGGTTGTGCTGCTGCTGCTGTTGCTGCTGCTGGTGGTGTTGATGGCTTAGCAGGTGTTGGTTATGCGGCTGGGGAAGGGTCACCACGGCGGTGGACGCGGCCACGCCGCTGCCCGGCTGGCGCTGTGGGCTCGCTGCCATTACGCGTGCAGCGGGTGCCCGTGCAGCGGCGCGCGGCCGCAGCGGTGGCCGAGGGCAGCCCAGCTGCCAGGCGCCAAAAGAGCGGCCCATAGCAGTAGGGTGCGTGGCTGACATGGCGTGCGGCGAGGGGCTTTGGCTGTGCGTGGTGCACGCACGCGTCGCCACAATAGGCGTGCTGTGGGCGGTCGAGGCAGCAGCACGTATTGCGTGCAGCCTTGCTCAGGTGAGCCGCTGCCGCTTGTTTCGACAGATGTGCGGTGGAGCTCGACTTTGAGGAGCCAGGGCGACTCAGCGATGCTGAAGACAGCGGGAATTGAGAGAGATCAAAACATATCTTGGCGCATCCAATCCACACGCCCCACTATGCTTTGAAGCTGCGTATCAATTGGGCGCACGTATAGCTTCAATCCATATCCCGTCATCTGTAGCTTATCTCAGAGCAGCCGTTCCGTTGCCACGTCGCCGCTTTTCCACGACACTCCTGTCTTTGTCGCTGCTACGCCTCTTTGCAGCTGCGAGAGCAGAGTTGTGTATGATCGCCTCAAAACCGCGGAAGTCTTGTAGTGGTTGCCAAGTTGATCTGTTCTGCCTGTTCTCGAAGGCGTGAGCGGGTGGCAGGGCTCCTTCACGCGATTATTTGACACAAAGGACCTTGGTAGCGATCGGTCAAGATCTAGCAGGCACTAGGGGCCCACAAAGGCAAGCCAGCGAAGGGCGCCGCAGCACCGCGCCACGCCTTGTGCGCTGCAGCAACGGACGCTGGCAGGAACAAAGTGGCTGCTGCGGCAGCACCGGCAGTGGTGGCGGGCAGCAGGCGCAGCGGACAGCTCAATTACAGCGGTGGCAGCGCCTCGCAGCCGGCAGCGCGATGGGGCAGGTGTTCACGCGGCTGTTTGATTCGTTGTGGGGCAACAAGGAGATGCGTGTTGTGATGCTGGGCCTGGACGCGGCTGGCAAGACCACCATCCTGTATAAGCTGCACATCGGGGAGGTCCTGTCCACAGTGCCCACAATCGGCTTCAACGTGAGCGCACCGGCGGGCAGGGCAAGCGCCTGGCTGCGGGCGCGCAGTGGCGCGCGACGGGGTCGCAGCAGCATCGGAAGCTCCTCCCGCATAGGCTTGCGTTTGCCTGCTGTGCTGGCAGCGCACCAGCGAGACGGGCAGCGCCGCAATCCATGCCAGCAGCCTGTGTGTGCACAGCCTCTGCGTCCTCCATACGCCAGGCGCCCGAGCCGTCGCGCCACCTGCGCCCCCGCACCCCCGCCCCCGCGGCCCTGTCGCTTTGCAGGTAGAGAAGGTGCAATACAAAAACGTGACGTTTACAGTGTGGGACGTAGGCGGTCAGGAAAAGCTGCGGCCACTCTGGTGCGCATCGCAGTTGGTAGAATCGAGCAGCAGACCGTGGGGCCCCCGCTGCAGACAAGGCGCAGCAGCCCCCCGCGGCACCCCCGCAGCAGACAGGGCGGCTGTTTGCGTTTCATCAGGATTTCGGAGGAGTCCCGCGTGCCTGCAGCAGGGGGCCACAGGGTCAGCCGACATCCGCAAGGCGGCGGGAAGGGCCTCGCCTGCGGCACACGGCGGCGGCCGTCGTCATTGCTGGAAGCGCTGAGGCGCACTGCTGGCTCAGGATGTGGAGCAGCGCTGCCATTGATGCACCCTCCCACCTGCCCTGCCCGCTGCCCCCCCCCCCCAAGGCGCCACTACTTCAACAACACGGACGGCCTCATATTCGTGGTGGACTCGCAGGACAAGGACCGCATAGGGCGGGCCGCGCAGGTGGGTGCTTTGGGGGCGGATGCTTGCGGGGGGTTTGGAGTGGCAGGAGGGGGGGCTCAGGTTCGCGGGAGGGTCGCTGGCGGAGTGCAGTCACGGGTAAGCCTGTGCAGGCGTCGCGCCCAGCAACCCCCTGTCGCATAGTTGCTGCATCTTCTGGGCACGCTGGCCGCGGCGGGCTTGAATGCAGCTACAAGCTGGCTGGCTCGTTGCAGGGGCAGTGTAGGCTGCCTAGTTGTTGTGCCCCCACGTCCATTGACGTTTCCTGGACCCCTACCGCCTCTTCCCCTGGCCCCTCAACCCCTGCCCTCTGGCCCCAGGAGTTCAAGTCGATCATTGACGACCCCCTCATGCGCAACGCAGCCATCCTCGTCTTTGCCAACAAGCAGGTGTGGGTGCGCTTACGGGCTGCGAGTGTGAGGGAAACGCGGGTGTGCTGCCCCTCTCGTGGAGGTCAAGTGGGAGCATTGCCGGCAGGGCCACACCGATGGCAGGCGCTGCTGTTGTCCAAGACATGGCCCTGCAGACGCCCCTGCGGTTGCGCCCGACCCTCCCTCCCCACCTGCTCCCACCTGCCCCCACCTCTCCCCCTCAACCCCCTCCCCCTGGGGCCAGGACATGCGCGGCTGCCTCCCGCCGAGTGAGGTGTGCCAGCACCTGGGGCTGCCCGAGCTGCGGGGGCGGCGCTGGCAGGTGCAGGGGGCGGTGGCCATCAAGGGGGAGGGCCTGTACGAGGGGCTCGACTGGATGGCGCAGACGCTGAAAACCATAAAGTAGGGGCGCCCGCGGCTTAGCGCCGCGCCGGCTATCTGTTTTGCTGCATCACACTTTCCTAGCGGGCGGCCCTTGTCTGTCTGTGCAGGCAGCAAGCAGCTGTAGCTTGTAAACTAGCCTTCCCTTCACGTGACGGCGGCCAGTGCTCACGCAAAGGCAGCTGCAGGCCCCAGCAGCCAACGGGTGCCGAGCCTTCTTACTCATGGAATTCAGCAATACATGCAGCCCAAAACCCAGCACAGAGCCCAGCGCGAGGACGCCCTGCTCAGCAAGTCGCCAAAAGCCAGCAAAGTCCACTACCGCACCCCCGCCTTTTCTTGTTGACGCAACACATGCCAAGTCATTCCAGAAATGGGTGGGCGAGTGCGGCAGGTTCAGGCCGCCCCCCTACTCTTGGCCTCCCACCCGCCGCCAGCGCCCCAGCCACTCCTTGCCAGCTCGCCTGGGGAAGCTATGGTCAGCGGGGATGGCCTCCAGCTCAACACACTCAAAGCCTGGGGGAAAC